ATTGCACAATGCCATGTAAATGAATAACAATTACTGAGCATTTACCACACGCCAGGCACTAAGGCCTCATTTATTCAATAGATATTTATTTAGCATTATGACATGCTGCCCTGATACTTGGAATATAGCGGTGAGCAAAAACTTGCCTGCACTGGGCTTACAGTTACAATTACTGAGCATTTACCACACGCCAGGCACTAAGGCCTCATTTATTCAATAGATATTTATCTAGCATTATGACATGCTGCCCTGATACTTGGAATATAGCGGTGAGCAAAAACTTGCCTGCACTGGGCTTACAGTTAAGTGTGGATGATAGACATTAATCAAATAATCACGGAAATATAAAATTACAAAAATGATATGGAGAAATACTTAGTGCTATGATACTATAAACTAATGAACAAGACTTAATCCAAGGGAAGGCAGAATGCTTCCTTAAGAAAACAATCTTGATGACAGCTGAGTTAAGCAGACAAGAACAGTAGTGTGGAGAGTCCTCACAACTCTGTGACTGGGTACTAACATTAGCCTCCCTTTACAGATGACACAACAGAGACTTAGGTCATAGAGCTAAGTGGTAAAGTTCAGTGGAATGGAATCCAGATCTAATGCTGGAGCAGCCCTCACAAATCCCTTCAGTAGCTCCTCACCCTTTCAGGACAAAATCCTCTTTTACACAACATATAAGGTCCTTCAAAGTCTGGCTCTCATGCCCTTCCAGCCTTAACTCTCATCTTTTCCCTATCCCCTGTCACATTCAACATCTGCTCCTGTCATTATTCCACATGACTAGAATCCCCCAAATTTCCATAATGTATTAATCCATTTTATGTTGCTATAACAGAATATCTAAGACTGCGTAGTTTTTAAAGAACAGAGGTTTATTTGGCTTACGATTCTGGGACAGCCATACCTGGTGCAGGCCTAAGCTGCTTCTACTCACGGTGGAAGGCGACAGGCAGCCGGTGGGTACAAGCAGATCACAAGGCAAGAGGAAGCAAGAGAGAGAGAGGGGGGAGATGTCCGGGTATTTTAAGCACGGAGTTCTCACTCAGCAACCCCAGCCCCTAGGAAGAACATTAATCCATTCATGAGGGATCCGCCCCCATGACTCAGTTTCCAACACTGCCACACTAGGGATCAGATTTCCACATGAGTTTTGGCAGGGAGAACACATCCGAACTCTATCACTTAGCAACGTTCAGTAGGCCTGGAGCTAGAATGGTTACCATTCTAGTGGATACAGAAGAAAGAGAATTTGCAAAAGCATCTTTAAAACAATTGACTGGGAGGTGTGATCATGAAGGGAGAGAAGTAAGGTACTTTCGTGGTCCTTTCTCTCTGCCTGGAATACCCCTTCCTGGAAACCCTCCCCATTTTCTGGGCCTATTCATCCTTTAAAACCCACATCGAATGCCCTCTCCTCTATAAAGGCTTCTATATGTCCCTTCTTCCTCCCTGCTCCCAAGGTTCTCTGAATATATCTGTAGTATAGTTATCATATCGGTGTGTGACTATCTGCTTCTCCAGACTTAAAGTTGTCACATATCCATCAATAATACTCCTCATGTACCTTGATAAATCTAAAGATGTCCATCATCATTTTATCTGATCCATCAGCAGCATTTAACAAAATTGAATGCACTACTCCACCATGAATTTCACAACACCAGACTCAAAATTGTCCTTGTCCCTGGTTGGCTGTTCAATCTGTCTCCTCTGCTGGTTCTTCCTCATCTTCCTAAACTGTAAATGCTAACATACCTAAGGACTCGGGCATGGTGCTTTTTATTTTGCTGTCTATATTCACTCCTTTAATGATCACCTTCAGTCTCATGAATTTAAATACCTAACATCTGTTCAATGACAACTCTCAAATGTTTGTTTCCAGCAATGACCATTCTTCTGAACTCCAGATTCAATATACGGTACTCAACTGCCCACTTAACATCTCCACTTGAATAACTAACAGTCTTCTCAAACTTAATATGTCCATAACTGAACTCCTTATCTTCTCCCACAAACCTGCCCCTCCTATAGTTTTCCACTTCTCAGTTAATGGAAATTCCACTCTTCTAACTGCTCAAGCTGAAAATTTTGACAATTACCTTATTCTCACTGTGCACATTCAATCCATAAGCAAATTCTATTGGCTTTACCTATAAAATACATCCAAAATTGAACTGGCACTTCTTTCCATCCAGTTAAAATGCTATCATCTCATCTGAATTATAATAATACCTCCCTAATTAGTCTCCTAGCTTTCACCTACCCCACCCTCCAACAAGCTATTCATAACACAGCAGCCAAAGTAATCTCATTAAAGACTAAGTCAAGATCATGTCACGCCTCTGCTCAGAACTTTCCATTGGTTATTTAATTCACTGGGCTATTCCTTCAAGGCAGGATTCATGTTGCATTACAAGCGTATCTCCACTTCGCTGACATAATGTCTTGCCACATATTAAGTATTTAGCAACTACAGTCGGCCATCCATATCTGTAGGTCTACATCCATGGATTCGACAAACTGCAGATTGGAAATGTCCAAACTGTGTCTGTACTGAACATGTACAGACTTTCTTCTTGTCATTACTTCCTAAAAAAACACAGTAAAACAATTTACATAGCATTTACATTGTATTAGGTACTATAAGTAATCCAGAGATGATTTAAAGTAGAGGGGAGGATGTGTGTAGGTTATACGCAAATATGAGGGTACTTCAAAAAGTTCAAGAAAAGACTGTACTACCTTTTAATTCTATTTTTCCAAAAACTTTTGGTGTACCCTCAAAAAAGTAGTACCCCCTCATACTACTGCATTTTATGTAAGGGATTTGAGCATCTGCAGATTTTGGTATCCATGAGAGTTCCTGGAACCAATTTCCCACACAGATACAGGAATGACTGTATTTGCTAAGAGACTAAAATCAATCAAAGTAAACAGACCAAATTTTGAGGAATCTTAATATTAAATTATTAAGATTATTATCTAATCTTAATATTACATTATTACTAATATTAGATAATTAGTTTGGACTTATGAAGTCACTACATGGATCCAAAAATATATATATGATAATGTACATTCTGGGGCTGTTTCCGTCTTCTATACCAAGCAGAGCTATGCATAGATGAACTAGGCCAGAGAACAAATCCAACATATAATTGTTTTTTGGAACTAGAAAGCCATTTGCAGATGCTGCACCAGAATTCTATCACTGTAATGACTTTTTTGCACTGCATTATCTTAGAAAATAAGTGAAATGTACATACAAGTTCTCAATAAATACTGCTTTCTTGACAAACAGTGAGTCCATGTTAGTGTTGCCTATAATTCTCCTTCAGGCTTACAGTAAAATCCCTGAGAAAACATAGACTTCTTCCTTTTCTAATAAAGATATTAATCTCTAAAAACAAATCTATCCCAAAGTCTAATAATAGAAAAATATATAAATTACAAGAAATTTGCTCAAGATTGAAATGAGTAGTTAGATCACAATCAATTTATTACTATTCAGTGTTTAATTTGAAGCATTTTCTAAATTATAGATATGAAGCAGCAAAATTACATTCCAAAACACATGAAACTTGCAATTATCTCATCTCTAAAATAATGATAACATCATATAAGGTTGTTGTGCAGAAAAAAATGAATAATATAGGTAAAGCTATAAGAACAGTGCCTGGCTCAGTTAGCACTCAGTTTGTTAGCTAGCAAAACCAGTCGTTATTCTACTGAACTGAAAATTATCAAACACCCTAATTCAATGTGGGTTACTCAGAGCCATACTTGAAGGGTCAACTATTTGGAAACAGTAGCTGAGATAATACATATGAAGAGCTCCTGAAAAGGTAAAAGCAGTTAAGAAAAAATTATATCATCTCTAAGTGTGATACACATACATAATATAGCCGTTTGAAGGCAGCACATCTTTTGATTAGGAATTTTGTGTTGATTATTTTGAAAGACCACTGTTCATACTTTGACATTATTTTATCTTTCAACAAAACTATGAGTTCTATCATTTGCACCAATCATAAACAGTTCTCTGAACTTCAGTAGGGGTTATCCGTTATCTTCTAATGAAAAATGTATGTTCTTGGTTCAGTCTACTATCAGTCCGAACAAATTAATAAGTGAATAGCAAACATCTCATTGGGACAGATACATCTTTAATTAAGCCAAACTGAATTGTAGTCAACAAACATGAAAACATTAAAGCTACCTTCAAACAGAAGTTTGAGTCACAGTTAACTTTCCCGAGCCATAAAGAAAAACTTCTCTGTTAAGATTATCCACTACAGATTTCAACAAAAGGTCAAATTAGCCCACTGTCTCAGATGGGCTAATATTGCAGCGGCGGGCAGTGTGTAATCACGTATGTGAATGATAAAAGAGGATAACATAGGAAAGTTACTTCCTCACACCCTCCACTTTAGCCTTCCTCCCTAAAAAAGGTTTGAAGGCAGCTGAAAATTTACAGTGAAGTTATGTCTTCTTATTTATTCACCTTCCAATATTTGAGAGGTGGAGTTAACAAGCGAAAAAAAAGGGAAAGACAGGACCAAGAGAGAGAAATGAGAAGCAGAGTAAGCCAAAGTCAGCAAGCAGCCACAGGACAAGAGGAAGTGGGGGGTCCTATAACAATACTGCCGCCAATGCTCAACTGTGAGTGATCGCAGTCTCGGGAGGCTACGCAGCCCGACCCCGCTCCTCCCAGTCAGGCCGCATGATGAAACGAAAACTCTAGGACAGGAGCAGTCAACTTAGGCAGGATCCCAACAACCCCAGCTTTGAATAATACCTCCGGGCCTCCGATTCCGGTCTGCCGGAAGGCGGTCGCGCAACGATGGCGTCATGGCGCGTTCGCAGTCTCGGGAGGCTACGCAGCCCGACCCCGCTCCTCCCAGTCAGGCCGCATGATGAAAGGAAAACTCTAGGACAGGAGAAGTCAACTTAGGCAGGATCCCAACAACCCCAGCTTTGAATAATACCTCCGGGCCTCCGATTCCGGTCTGCCGAAAGGCGGTCGCGCAACGAAGGCGTCATGGCGCGTGCGTCGCTCTCCGATGACCTCACGCTGCTCGCCCCGCCTCGCCGCCCCTCCCTCCGCTCTGAAGGCGATGTTCGTAGGTGCTTCGGGCCGACGTGTGGAAGGAGGCTTTGGCGGGGTGCTGGCAGCATTTAGCTAGGTTTGTACTCCGCCGGCACTCACTTCAAGTGCGGTTGGGCGTTTTGGGTTTTTTAAAATGTTAGTTACTAAAGCTTTGTTCAGGTTTTTACTTTTGCTGAAGCCCTTTCCAGGACCCTGATTCCTCCTACACCCTTATTACCCACCTCAAAATTAGCCTCCCGGGGCAGCTTCCCAAATTATCTACAGACGGGTTCCTTATGTTTCCAATCCATCGTTAGGATATACTTTTGTAAAATACAGTAAAAACGAATTACTAGCAAAAAAAAAAGATGCAAAATACGAGCCTAGATTTTTAACTATTAGTTTCAAAGTACATAAGATTACATTTCAATATGTACAGTCAGAACAAACATAATAGAAAAAAAGAATCATGAAAATTGTACAGTTTGTTCATTTAAAGTGTAGTGTAAGCGATTAACAGCATTGTTTTACATTCGTAACTTTTTATCGTTCCACAGTGGTAATTTAACAAAAAGTTATGCATGAAATAGCAATTCCGTATATTAAAAGGAACTTTGAACAAACACCATATATGTCAATAAAGTTTTTAAAGTAAAAAATGAGCTGTTTCTGGTTTGTTATGCTCTAGTTGCATTAAAGACAGC